CCCCCAAAACCCCAAAACCCCAAAACCCCAGGAAATCCTTAAAACTCATTATATTTAATTTACACTCTAACATGGGAATTTCGAAGAAGAAGTTTAAAGTGTGCAGGAAGATGAACCCTAAGTTTTTGCTGAACTCGGTCAAGCCACAGATAACTCCTGATAATGAGTACCTGATCGTAGCAAAAGATACCAAGTTATTGATTTATAACATAAATACAGGATTTTGTGTAGCCAAATGTGTAGTAGACTTCTCCATCAAGCAAAAGACTGGATACGTCAAGGGATTCAGTGTCTATGGAGACGGAGACAAGATTATAGCAGGGTACAAGAAAGGCTTCATCGTTGTGTGGGATATCAGCAAGATCCTAGAGCCTGGTATTGAGAATTTTGTGTCGTTTGATCATGATATTGATAATATTGTCATCAATTCTGAGAGTAAACACGCTATAGTTGTAAATAGAGCTCAGAAAATTGTGAAGAGCTTTGATATTCTTAATAACTTCTCACTCGCTTCAGAGATCACCAATGATGCACTTGCTAACTACAGAGGCTCTATCACTTGCTCAGGAGACAGCAAATACTTCGCATTCATTACTCAAAGGATCATCACAGTCATTGATTTGGAAAATAAGGACTGAAAACAATTCAGAGCAAACTTCAATTTGACCACTATTAAGATGCAGTCAGAAGGAAAATACTTAGTCGTTGGAGATTGTGTAGGGAAAATCCATCATTACTATGACTTCTTCAATGAGCACGGACCTACAATTTCGTCGAGACACTGGCATTCCAATAGAGTCAATGTCTTAGAGTTCACTAAAGACAACGCTTTCCTTCTCTCAGGAGGTAAAGAAGCTGTTCTTGTTCTTTGGCACCAAGTCACACAGGAGAATAGTTTTGTGTCCAGAATTGGAAACCAAATCGTCAACCTCTCTACCAGTGATGATGGAACTCTTTTCGCAGTTTCAATGTCTGACAACTCGATTAAAATTATCAGAGCTCAAAACTATGAGATCGTGCATCACTTTAGAGGACTTATAGTTGAGCCTGGTAACACAAAATTTATCCAAAACAGTAATCTTACTTGCATAAATTTTAGATACTAAGAATAGCTCGAACAAGGATTTGATCTTTTACGGAAACACTGCTTGCCCATCAACCCTACAAGTATACGATTCCGTACTGAAAAGAGTGTCTGGGGTGCATTCTTCCTTGAACAGAAATTATGTCTCAAATTCCTTTGGTGGAAACAACAGTAAGTCTCATAATTTGACCCATATAGGCCAATACCAGATCAAAGACTGTATTTTCTCTTCCACTGGTGAAGAAATGATCACGTATGAACAATTAGTAAGTTAGATTGTAATAAGTCTAGAACCAATGCTCCAGTCCAAATGATGAAGCCCAGCTGAACACTGATATTAACCTCAAAACCCTTAAGTTCTGGAAGGTCTACTCTGATGGAACTTTTGGGTTAGAAGCTGAAGTCCCTGATCCACATTTCTCCTCAGGTAACGAAAACTGGATGCTCAAGGCAAATACTTCAGTAAGGATCATCAGTTATCTCCATAGGCAAGCACACAGAACAAAGTTTATACAGCCAGTGGAAATGAGCTCAAAATATGGCAGAAAAAGAAAGGGCAATCCTTCGAACTTCTTTGTACACTAAAGTACAAGGACATTCTTGACGAGACCTTTATTCCACAACTTCAGGATAATAATTCTGGGTCTGAATCTGAGGCCACTGAGGATTCAAAGCACTTGGAAACCCTTACTAAGGTGATCAATAAGGGAGACATCAGAGGGTTCCAGCCTGATTTCATCTACAAAGAAAAGGATTCAGGCCTCTGTGTGGTCTATGACGACTACATCACCATCTGGGATGAGAAGACTTATGCCTTAATCTCCCAATACAAACTTAAAAAGCCTACTGATTACGTTATCCACAAGGTAGTGTTTGACGGCAAGGGAAGAAGACTGGCCCTCCACACATCAATTGGTCTCAAAGTGATAGATGTTGAACTCCAACAAGAGATTTGGAAACTTGATTTCACATCTATAAAAATGATCGAAAGTAGCCAAGCTATTAATTCTCAGTTCTTTATCACCATGAATTCAGAAGATGTTGATGGAGGAATCACAGATGCACTGTTGATCTTTAGCTTTAGGACTGACAAGCCACTAAAAATCATTAAATTCCCAGCGATTGATAGTATTTCTTATGGAAAATATGTTAACTTGAACAACCTAGATTCCCCTTCAATCTGTATCCTGACTTCCAAAGGTTTTATCCAGTACATCAACTGTATGAAGAGAGGTGAGAATGAATCCCAGACTAGAATTGAGCTAATCAAGAGAGAAAGCTCTTTCCACAGTCCAGATATCACTCCTATGATTAACTTTGGTGACCTTGATGAGGAGCTTGAAGACTTCAAACTCGATGAAAGTAAGTTTATATGCTTTATCAATAGGAACAAAGATCAGCACTGCCAAGACCAAGAATAATTATGACGCTATGTCCAAGGCTAGCGATATGTACTTCAGCAAAGCAAAAATCTTCACAAATAATGTTTCAGAGTCACTCAATGAATACTTTTCTACTATTCTTAAGCCTAGAACTAAAGAAGATGCTAGTGAAGATTATGATTTAGAGATGACTGATATTGCAAAGGATCATATAGATACATCTGCTAAAGATTCTCTCGAGTTTAGAACCGATCACTTAGAGTCCCAGTTCGACGAAGTCCTTAAAAGAGTGTTCAAGTAAATCCTTCAATATCCAACATATCCTCTGGGGTTTTGGGGTTTTGGGGTTTTGGGGTTTTGGGGTTTTGGGGTTTTGGGG